AGCGGAGGTGGGTGGTAGAAGAAGCCACAGCTGTTCCCCACAGGCAGAAGTGCCTGGAAGAGATACAGTCATCAAGGAGCAGGTTGTCCTGGCTCCAAACCTGGTCCTGGAGGCAGCAGGAGCAGAGTCCTTCTGAGGCACCCTAAACCCCAGGAACCGCAGCCAAGGCACAGAGGCCTCGGGCAGCTCTGCCTTCGCGAGCCTGCAGCAACCCCATGGCAGGGCCAGGAGCAGCAGCTGGGATCCCGGCTTCCCAATGGCTCCTTCAGCCCCCCTGGATATGGCATGCTCTCACCTGCAGCTCTCCAAAAAGGCCCCCAGGACACGCCCAGGGCTCAGTGGTCCCCTCCAGCGGGATCGGGGCAGTGATGCTCTGGCACCCTGGAAGCAGCAGGAGACAGATACATGAGGTGAACAAAAACCTGCTGGGTCCGGGGAAGATCAGCCTCCGCTGAACAGCAACATCCTGATCCACACTGGTCACAGCTCCAAAGATCTGCCCCCACAGATCTGTCGTGCAGCCCGGGCACAGGACCTCGCCCGGGCTCAGGCAGCCAGCCCCATGCATTAGGGTAGCAGCACACCCTCCATAACAGGGCTTGAAGTGGGGGAATGGGGAGAGGTATGATCCTGCCTTCGTGAAACGTGTGCAGTAAAGACACAGCTCCTGGCTACAGCTGGGAAGCTACAGCCTGGCACAGACAGCCGCGCGCTGCTTTGCTGCCCGGCCAGCCAGCTCTGCAGTGCCCGGGGAACCTGCCCTGCATGCAGCTGCTTCCCTGCAGACGTGGTTCAAGGCACATGGCCCCATCCCACACTGGACTTGGAGAGCCTCTCAGGCTGTCAGCTGCTAACAGTTCCCCATTTGTAAGAGGTCACAAGGCCCACAGAGCAACTAGGGAACAAGCAACCAGAGGAACAGGGGCTCCCAAAGTGATGTACAGGCATTCAAACTCCAACCCCACCTCTGTCACTTAGGGCGTTACTGCTCCCATGGATCCCTTTTACCAGAAAGGCCAAGGGGTCCTTGGTGAAGAGCTGCTCTGATGACCGCTCTGTCCCCAGCAGCAGTGCCCCAGCCTGCCTTAGTGTGTCAGGGCGTGCTGGGGTGCCAGCCTTCCTCTGGCCATTCCCGCTCCGCTCAGCAGGCAGGCTGTGGGACAGGGCAGCCCGATGGCAAGTGCTGGCTGCTGCTGTGGGGCTGGCGGTGATGGAGGTGAGCGGCCAGAGCCCCACCACCCAGGCAGGTGAGCCAGGGCAGCACTGATACTTACAGCCAAAGCAGCTTCCCCAGGTGCCCTTGAGGTCAGGGTCACAGAGGAGATGGCCATCTGCAAGGGAGGCGAGGAGGTGAGCATGGGCACAGGTCAGCAGCACGGAAGGTGTTGAGGGGAGGTGCACTTCCAGTTGGACACAGGGACCCCAGACCTCTGGGAGGGGGTCCCAGGCACCTTCACGTCTTTAGGGGGAGAAACAGTGGATGAGCACAGAACAAGCTTCTGATGCCCTGGGTGTGCCACAGCGCCCAAGTGCCCCTGCACTTCAACATGGCTAGATTTGGCTGGGGTGCAAATATATGCTTTGGGGCCACAGGGGTTGGCTCAGGGCTGGCATCTGCCACGTACCCAGCCAGAGGATGAAGGCACTGGTGGCCAGCAGTATGTTGCGGATGTCCCAGAGGTAGGGGTGGAGGTCGTAGAGCAGCGCCTGTCCAGCGGTGCTGACGAAGCGGCTGTGCAGGCGGCATGTCTGAGCGCAGAGCAGCTGGAAGGACTGGGCTCGACCGCGCCAACGCGTGCCCTGCAGGTGGACCGGGCATCAGCTCAACCATGACAGGCACCATCCCACAGCAGCACCCGGACCAGCCTTACCCCACCGGCAGCGTGTGCTGTGGCTGGGACTCCCACACTGAGGCTGTTTGCCCGGAGCCACCGAAAGTGCTCCAGGAGCTGCTGCGCCTGTGTCCCATGATGGTAGGGCAAGTAGAAGAGCTCCACCAGCATCCGCACCTCCCCCAGAGTCAGCGGTGCTGCGCGGTTGGACCTGGCCTCTTCGAGGGTCACCAGTGCCACAGGGACAGACCCAGCCTCCTCTGGGGTCACCGGTGCTGTAGGGTTCAACCTGTCCTCCTCTGGGGTCACTGGTGCTGCGGGGCTGGTCCTGGCCTCCTTGGGGGTCAGTGGTACCGTGGGGCCAGACCCAGCCTCCTCCAGGGTCAGCAGGGCCACGGGGCTGGACCCAGCCTCCCCTGGGAGAAATGGTGCCGTGGGGCCAGGGCTAGCATCAACCCTATCAGTGAGCAGAGCTGTGGGCCCAGGGCTGGTGCCAGCCCCAGCAGTGAGCGGTGCCGGGGGACCAGGGCTGGCGCCAGCCCCAGGCCCTGGGGGTGCCTGAGGCATGTCAGCCCTGCTGGCCTTGGGCTGGGTACTGCTGGGGGGTTGGGGGTGGCTGTCACCCCCTGTCCTGGTGTCACTGATGGGTAGGGGAAAGTTGATGTTAGCCCCATTGCTGCAGCACATTGTGGAGCCTGGGCTGTGGCAGGGGTCGGGAGGCCCCGGGCCTTCCGC